TTTTTTATTTATTTAAGTCTTTCTACCTGTACTAAAAGTAGGATCTGTCCAATCTGTGGATTCTGAACTATCGGTGGAATACGGCTGCCTAGTTTCTGCAAAATTATAAATATCACCACTATAGAAGTATACATAACTATCGCAACTGAACTGAAGAAAACAAAATACCAAAAGGAATCATTATAAATAGCTATATTTTATTACTTTGAATTGCGAATAATTTTAACTTTTATTTATTTAAGTCTTTCTACCTGTACTAAAAGTAGGATCTGTCCAATCTGTGGATTCTGAACTATCGGTGGAATACGGCTGCTCAGTTTCTGCAAAATTATAAATATCATCACTATAGAAGTATACATAACTATCGCAACTGAACTGAAGAAAACAAAATACCAAAAGGAATCATTATAAATAGCTAGATAACGTTATTTTACTCTTGCTTTAACGACCGTAAAAAAATTCAACTCTGAATATAACGACCCTCTCTGAATTTGAACACCACTCTTTTCTAACTTTCTATTGGAAAGTGGGGTTGAATGGTTGACCTTGAACAAGCACAGAATCCGAAGGTCTCACACGGCGTCAAGACAAAGCGATTTCAGTTGGCTAGTATGGGGGTGTGTAGATAACAAACGTCATCGAGCATTGAAGACGAGCTGTCGAATCGGGTGAGTTTCTTTACTCTTGCCCCCCTCCCTCCCATTACCGACATCCCCACCTCTTTTCCTTTACTTTGCCTCTACTTTTCCGTTTCATTTTGTTTTTAGCTGGAAAAGGCTTTTGCATTTGATTAAAGTGTGCTGTTCTTAATTTTTCAAGCTTGCATTTCAACACGCTGATTTGTCATTTGATAAAAATGCCACCTTTAGAAGCTAAACGTTGTGCTTCATCTATTGATGTGGAGAAAAAAAATTAGAGTGTATCGACGAGAAACCCATGCCTAAAACTGAAATCGCTAAAAAATTTGGAATACCTAAGAGCACTCTGTTCACAATAGTGAAGAACAGAGAATCCATTTTAAACGCTGCCCCAGAAAGAATGCGACTCAGAGATGGAAAATTCCCTCTTCTTCAGAAAGTCCTTTTAAACTGGATGAAAGGCATGCGCAGCAAGAACATTCCTCTGGATGGAAACGCTTTAAAAGAAAAGGCAACAGTTTTTTTTTTTGAAAAACTCTATCCCAATGAATCCTTCAAAGCTTGCGATGGATGGCTTCAGAACTTTAAGCATCGGCATGAAATAGTGTTCAAAAAAATATGCGGGGAAAGCTCTTCAGTAAACAAAGATACCGTGCGTATATTCAAGGAAGAAACTTTAAAAAAAATTATGGAAAACTACATTGAGGACGATATATTTAATGCAGATGAAACTGCACATTTTTATAAACTTTTTCCTGATAGATCTTTAGTTTTTAAAGGTGAAACATGCAAAGGAAATGCGCGATCCAAACAAAGAATAACTCTTCTGCTTGCAGCGAATATGTCAGGTAATGAGAAATTACTATTGTTTGTAATTGGTAATTCGCATTGTCCCCGCTGTTTCAAGGGTGTAAGGGGTATAATTTTATTTTTTTACTTAATTAAGTCCTTCTACCTTCTACATGTCCAATCTGTGGATTCTGAACTATCGGTGGAATACGGCTGCTCAGTTTCTGCAAAATTATAAATATCATCACTATAGAAGTAAAACATAACTATCGCAACTGAACTGAAGAAAACAAAATACCAAAAGGAATCATTATAAATAGCTATATTTTATTACTTTGAATTGCGAATAATTTTATTTTTTTATTTAATTAAGTCCTTCTACCTTTACTAAAAGTAGGATCTGTCCAATCTGTGGATTCTGAACTATCGGTGGAATAAGGCTGCTCAGTTTCTGCAAAATTAAAAATATCATCACTATAGAAGTATACATAACTATCGCAACTGAACCGAAGAAAACAAAATACCAAAAGGAATCATTATAAATAGCTATATTTTATTTCTTTGAATTGCGAATAATTTTATTTTTTTGTTTAATTAAGTCCTTCTACCTGTACTAAAAGTAGGATCTGTCCAATCTGTGGATTCTGAACTATCGGTGGAATACGGCTGATCAGTTCCTGCAAAATTATTACATTTATCAGTATAGAGGCATATGTAACTATTACTTCTGAACCGGAGTAAACAATATTGAAACAAAAGAAACAAGTTATGTTAGAAACAGCAAAGCAGTAAAAGTATTGTTTCGTTAAGAGAAACTTATAAAAAAATTGTCATCCTATCATTGAAAACAATGATGCTTAATTAACCTTGTTAATATGCATTAATTGAAATAAAAAAATAGATTATATACTAAAAAAGCAAAAGTGGAAAATATATTTATTCGTTTTAGAGAACCGTAGAAAATCTACATACTGTTATTTACAGCAATGATTATTTTTTATGAGCCTGAAGTTGTCAAGTACGTAAAAATTCAAAGAATTAAATGGGCTGGTCACATCGTTCGGATGAACAGAGAGCGTCCGACAAACATAATCTTTTCGGCTCAGCCCATCGGATCAAGGCCCAGAGGTCGACCAAAGCTGAGATGGGCCGACTGCGTGGAAAGAGACTTTTCAGTCTTAAAAGTCTCAAACTGGAAGACAACTGCCAGGCAGAGACAGGCCTGGAGGAAGTTGATTGAGAAGGCCAGGGCCCACCCGGGGCTGTCGTGCCATTGAGGAAGGAAGGAAGGATTATTTTTTATTGTTAATCTGTATTAATTAAAATAAAAATAAACTTTGTGCTAAAAAACAAAAATAATGGAATAAGGTCAACGGAAAGCTCGTTTAGGGAAACCGTAAAAAATCGTATCGGGCTGGTGACAATTAATTTTGGCAATACGTACTACTCGGGCAACGATAATTGATACAGTTTTCATAAAAATTCTATAATAGCTCTGTCGTAGTTTCAGAAAATACTTTCTCCAGTGATAGCAAAGATAGTGTAATAAAATTTTAATGTTTTAGGATTAAAAGAACTTTTTTTCATTACTACATATGATTTTTAACAGTAAATTCAAGATCAGATATAGAAATGCTCATGCTACCAAGTTCTTATCAGCATCTTATAAGTATTATATTTGATTTCGCCTTTATTTTGTTGAGAATTGTTTTTGTTTATTAGTTATGAAGTGTTATTTTAAGATATTTGGAGATTATTATTTCTCTTTACTTATTAGAGAATGTCTACTAAAGATAGATTTGATGTAAAAATTTTGCGATGTGCTTGGTAAGAATATAATTTTTTACCCAACTTAATTTACACAGAACCATGTAAAATCAAGATATTTTTATATTGAAGAAATACTTTTCATCCTAAAGTTCTAAGTTAACTTATTACGTGCTTATATAATTAGAAATATGTGTAATGTTTTAACATTGTCTGCATATTTTTAAATTATATTTAGAAAAATACAGGATGACCTTGAAAACATCTTTTCGGATGTAGATTCTTAGTAAGTATGTTTTAGCATTACGGAACAGCTGATCACAGACATAATAATTTGTCGATCTTTTATTTAATTATTTTTAATAGATTAGCAATATATTAATTGAAAAACGTCTTAACTACTACCAACGAAAAACGGCATTTATGAGCTATGAGAACTAGATTAATCCAGTTCCTGCATTTTAGGAATGTTGGAAGGTAATTTATTAAAAGTTTAAAAAAAATGAATGGATTTGCTTTTGTTATGTTTCATTCGTCCTCCATTTCTTATACACTGCAGCATGCATGTACGATTTATTTAAGAGCTATATATATATATATATATATATATATATAGATAGATAGATAGATAGATAGATAGATAGATAGATAGATAGATAGATGCCTCTTCCAGTTTCAAAATTATCGGTGAAATTTCGTAGCTTAGTTCTTACAATATAAGATTTTTTTCTTAAAAATAAAAATACAAATAGCACTAAACAAACTGAAAATAAATACACCAACTATAATCATTATTAATGTAAAACTGTGGTTATTAAGATGATGATCAATTTCGCTTTTCAGTTTCAACAGTCTTCAACAGAGCAACTGACTTGAAAGAGGCGCTAATTTTGTCCAATTTGTGTTTTCAAAAAATGTCTGTGGAATATGGTGGCTCAGTTTCTGCTAGATTAAAAATTTTATTTGCATAAAAACACAAATCACTTAAGGTATAAATCAGAAGAAAACAATTACACAAGTTAAGATTAATATGAATGAAATACTCTAATTATTGAAATTATTAAAAGCGTTATTTTTTATATTGAATAAGCTTTGTTCTAGCAAAATTTGCCGATTCTGTTTAGTCGTAGAATTCAATAATATAGTGAAATATAATAAGTATGGTTACTCTTCAGAAATACATATTTTATTAAAAAAAACATACTTCCTACTTGTAGTAAACGGAATACAACAATTATTTCATCATTAATTATAATAGATTTTAAAAAATATATATAATTCAGTCTGATAAGTAAGTTCATTCAAGGGCATTTCATAATCTTCGTTTCTAATGCATATTTTTAGAATCCTTGTAAAAAATAAAATTCATAATAAACTGATAAACTTATATTTTTATAATTCATTTTGTATCAAGAGTAATATTGTGGCAAAAAGAAATGAAAACAGATATCGATATATCAACAACGAGGACAGCAGAATTGAAATTATGAAAACCTGTTTGATTACCTTATAAGGCATTTAAAAACGTAGCAAAGGGAATTTTTTTCAAACATAACTTATTCTCACACTAAAGCCAACAACATGCTTTACTAAACCATTTGATGTGTTTGACATGATTTTGGGTAGTGTTTAGTGCCTTTTTTTACTATAAAAGTGGTCTCTCGTGACAAAGAGTTATAGCATATTCGGTCCCCTTTTATCTATAGGTATCTCTAACAGTTGAGATTAAGATTAACTCTCTTCTAGTTCTATCTACTATCGTGAATTCATTAGTTGTATATTTTCACCGGTGTCGAACAATTAAATTGTGTCGGAAATTATTTATGACTCCACTACTTTAAATGTATAAGCAAATTTGGGTAAAAATCTGCTACTGAAATGTAGCAACCTATTTGGGTTTTGATTTTAGGATTTTATTCTTTTTTTTTNTTTTTTTTTTTTTTTGATTTTCAGATCTTACATATTTGTTTAAATTTTAGCGGTCATTAAAATTAGTAACGGTCATTAAAATTATTGTAACAAGTAGCGGTCATTAAAATTATTGTAAATCAAATTTAAAAAAGCAAAAATAAAATTGAAAGTTGTAAAATTTTCTACCACTTGTATCGAAAAATTATTTTCCTTAAAACGGAAGAAGCTCGTTTAAACGTAGTGAAATTTTTTCTAAAATACAAATTAGGATCGGAAAGAAGATGGGATTAGATTTGTTATGATTAATCAATTAAGTAACCAAATTTAAAATAGTTTTGGTCATAGTAGCAAATAAAAGGGAAAATGTACTATAATTAATACTTTAAATAGTTATGAGAACCGTACGATATTCCAAATCGATATTTGTCATAATATATCGAATAAAAAAACCAACATTATCGTAAACATTTTGCAGCGGTGTATACTTATAAAAATTATACTAGATAATACAATACGATACAATAGTAATAACGATTATACTAGATTAAACAATAATACTATAAACAAAGTACTCATAAACAATTGTTTTTGTGTCCGAAAGTCTGATTATGATGGCGAAATTTTAAATGAATGTCGTAAAAATACGAAATAATGAATATGTAGGAATATATGCATTAATATTTTTACAGGATAAAATGCGTTAATAATTTTACTGCCTTATATCGCAATGGTCTCCACCAAAACCTTCTTTGCATTGACATTTAAAAGTATTTCCAATCGTATCGCAGGTTCCGCCATTTTGACATGGATTAGGCTTACATGGATTGAAGACTATAAGAACAAAAAGCGTTAGAAGGAATGTATTTATTTTCATTATAATCAGTGGCTTTATAACAAATCAAATATTTAAATAGGATAATACAAATTTTTTTCTTGATAATTATTTAAAATAAAACCTGACTGATGTTTTTAGGAAAGTGGGAAATCTGAGATTTATTCGAGATTTTGATTTTGATTTTGTGCCATAAATGGATGCAAACAAATCCAATATGAATCAGACAGGCATATTAAGTAGGCCAATATCCGAACTCAAACTCATAAGGATTTACCTTTTCTCTGTAACAACTGGATTGGAAAAAAATCGGATCAGTAAAATTGGAGGGAAAAGTTTCCGATTAAAATAAAGCCAATTCTGATTATAGCCCGAATACCCGCCACATGTATACATGACATGAAATAGGCGATGTTGCTTATCATTTATCAAAACCTAGAGGATAGTTACATGTTGGTTTTCGGTAATGGTAGCCTCAATTTCTGTCACAGACTTTAACTGCCCTTTTTTTAATATGCAGAATTGTTAATATTTTCTTTTGGAATTAATATTAAGGGAAAGACCAGGCCCTTTATGAATGACAAGCACTCTGTCATCTAAGAACCGCCACTGAGACACTTTTCAGCGTAGATTGAAGTATTAACTTGCTAGAATATCGGGTTTTGCGGACGGTTAGTTGACCACCATAGTACAAATCTTCCCACGCCGTAGAAGAACCTCTAGCACTGTTTCACCCATAGAGTTAACTCTATGGTTTCACCTTCATATCTTTAAAGGAAGGTTTTCTCTTTTTATCTGATGTCTTCTGCGTCATTTCACTAATCATACAAACGACTTGCGACATTAAAGAATTAAGCAGTACTTTAAGTTGAGAGCTATTTTTAAGCACAGGAACATAGAAAAAAAAGAATTTGGATGATCCAGATAGTTTCTTTATTCATTTATTTTGGTGCAATTGTCATGAAGAAAGGAAAAATAGGATTTCTTCTCTCTTATCAACGAGGTGAAGGCTCGTTAATTTAGTCTGAAGGCTTCAGCTATACAGTCCCTGGTCGAATTATTAGACGTACTATAAGATTCTACATAAAATCTTAATTATCAGATGATATTAAGTAGCGTTCTTGTTTTTTCGAAACTGAAACTGATTCGCACTTGCTTATGTTCGTG